TGAACCCAACCTCCTTCTCTCTCCAAAGGGAGAAGGATACCTTCCTCTTGGGTTTATTTTTTTTTAAATCTCATGAGAGCCTACCATCAACAGCTTAAAGTTATTCTGGCACACAGACATTACCATGCTAACACAATACAGCCTGAAATACTGAACTATAAATACCACCTCTTCTTTTATCTACTTCTAAAGCGCATTGCCTAAAGAGCCCCATAAAAAAAACCAAAATCAAGACACTAAAACCATCAAAGCTTACAGCCTATATAAATAATTTCATTAAGTTTTTCGTTTTTCAGATTTTTAATTCAACTGCTAAGAGCATCAGAAGATCCTAAGTGAAAAAGCAATCAAATTTACTACTCCCTATGGATTATCAGAAAGATGAAGCAGTCAGCTAAGACGAAAAAACCCAAAGATGTATAACCAGAATTTTATGCAAACCAAATCATCTTGCTCAAGGTGGGTTAATCGGTCTTCTGCAAGCTTCTTCCTCCAAGAACAACAATGATGGAATCAGATGTTACCCAAAAGGTAGATTTGTTCAATGCTTTTTAAGTTAACTGGATAAACCAAAACCACACACATGCGGACCAAGCACGTAACCTGCTGTTCCTCCTGTTAACGAATTCAAATGAAAGTGGTGTGAGCTGGCCTCCCATCTGGAGGGCTCGTGCTCCAATGAGGTAGCAAAGAGCTGCCGGCTGACTGAGACTGACTAACCAAATCCAAAAATGGCGTATGCTTTTTATTCCATCTCTAAGGAGCGAGTTTGAGCGCACGCTAGAGCTGAACTCGTGAGAATAAAGGTAACGCTGGCAGAATAGCTCTAAGGCAACAACGACACCAGGCTCGCTGCTGCTCCTTGAGCCTGTTACAAGCCACTTTCAGCATCACAGAAGCTACATTCAAAACAAAGTAGATGATATGACAGTCAACTCTAAAACCAGCTTTATACAGGTTATACTAGAGCAAGGATGGGAGGGAGTGATAAGGTAGATATTCTTCAAAAGCGAAGTTTTAACGGAATTCAATGCAGATACTTCAAAATGCAGGAACACTATGTTTATTAGGTCAATAGTTCATTTTAGCAATACAGTTACAGAATATCACAATGCTGGTTACAAACATAGTATGGTTTGATGGTTACAAATAGTGTCGGGCACTGCAGTCTGTGAGAAGTAGGATACGAAAGGTTAGTCTTGACATGACAAGAAGGGTGGTCTTCAAAGTCTAGTAATGATCAAGATACTTTCATATAAATGACTGTGGCACTACAGGTAGAGATTCTGGTTTAGAGGTGTTTTTTGTATAAGTAGTTTGATTTATACAGTTATACAGTTCAAGCAACATCTTTTTTAGAATGCTATTAAATTAAAATCCCCTGTAGTTCAATAAAGTATAAAAATAGTACTGAGCCTGGTAATATTCAATAAAATGTAGAGTTCATTCACATCATTAAGTAGTAAAGAAATTGTAAAGTTGTAGTTACCATGGCAACATTGCTTCCCATAAAGGAATATACATAAAAGAGTTACACATATGGTACCTGCGACATTTAGTGATCCAACACTGAACTTGCGCACCACAAACCAAGTTTCTAAATATCTCTATATATTTATATAGTATATATCTTTTTCATCTTAAAATTTACTTCTGGAAAAAAAAAAAGTGTGCACTTCAACAAACTCACTAAGGCCACTCATGCTATAGATACCTAGGATTGCAATGAAATATTGTTAAACAAGACCCTAGAGCACGCACCTTTATATTACTGAAGGGAAACCTGTTTCACTGCCTAAAACATTCCTGAGATTTAGGGACAAAAGCATTACCAGTGCTGTCAATTTTTCCATATGTAGTTTATTTATAGGCGAAGGAAATTTCTTCCCTGCGTCTCACAGAAACCCTCAAAAGGCCAAGAAATAAAACATGCAACAGGCCATTTGTATCAAACATGAAAACACAATGAATATTCAGGTTTGCAATTAACATTTGGCCAGTAATTTTCTTCTTATAAAGAAATGGTTGGGGGGGGGGGGGGGGGGGGGGGCGGGGAAACTTGCCCAGGCAACAGAGGAAAGAATCTCTGTCTAGAGACTGGTTAACAGCAATGCCTCCGCCATCCTATCTGCTGCTAGCCTATGAAGTCAAATCTGATCCTTATCAATCAAGTAAAGTTTTTGTCAATAGCTTCAATCATGTTTTAGGCACGATGCATTTTCCTTTTTTGTATTCTACCAATCTGTATATCTATAAAAAGGAAATCAAGTTAAATGTGCATTTTCTGTACCATGAGAAGCAGCACAATGGCACCTTTAGCATTTTAGACTGCAGCACATTTAAAGAAAAACTTAATTTTTAAAGTTAAAGAACATCATTTTCCTAATAAGTTAGACTTCAACAAAAAAACCCTTCAAAATTATTTAACAAAAACCCTGTGTGCAAAAAAAAAGTCTTAAACAATAGGTATCTATACATAAAGTAAAGAGTGCACATAAAGACTAAAACTGAGGCAGACACTTGATGGTCATAATCAATATCAGGCCATAAAAGTGACCAAACAACTGCTAGGAGCCAAATAGTCACTAGTTGTACTTCAAGTAATTGAGGGATATACTTATCTTGAAACACCCTTCTGCAACTTTCCCCCTCCTCTTTTGTCAGTTCTTAAGCACTGTGCGCACTTCTCCCTTTCCATAAACTCTAGCGGGGGGGGGATACCTAGAATAGCCTGAGTCCTAAAATTGTAAGTTGAAGTGTTTGCATTAAAACAGGACGTAAAAATAACTGATTCAAACAACTTTATGTTAAAAATAAAATAGTAAGGGCTTTAATATAAACAATAGTTAAAAAATTCTCCACAAGGGCGACACCTGTCCTCAACACCTGTGAAGATTTACTGTAGCGTGACAGATTACTTACCTTCAAGAGAGAAAATTCTGCAGATGCATTTCACTGGATTCCCACTCTCAGGTCTCCCTTTTAATGCCAGCACCACATAGCACCTGCTGAGATACTGGTAGGTGCCTTGTGCATATACAAAATGCCAATAATTAATCAACATTAGTGTTTCGTAGCTGGCTACTTCAGTGACAGGAGGCATGAGTTCTCCCAAAGCGCAAGGCTGTCCATATAGCCCCTTCCCCAATACTTACATTTAAACATGCATGCAAGACTTGTTTTGGGGGTAAGACAGGAAGAAAATTCCTCAGTTCTAACACTGGGAGGAGGAAGGTGCGAGGTCTGTGTTATAAGTTCTGCACTGAAAAGCCACACAGCATGGATTTACCAGTAGGAGGAAGGCATGGGGGAAATAGACCCTCTGCTCCTTCAGCTCTGCCTGGTACAGAAGTCATGAAATACCGAAGCAATTTTTACAAGTCACCTGCAAATTTACTGCAATCACCTGGGAGTTGCCCACATCTTTACAGAAGGACATGTCTTAGTATCTTACTCTGGAGGTATGTCCCTGAAGGTGCATTTACCTTGCTCCAAAGTCACCCAACTGCACTAGACTTCTACTTTCTCAAAGAGAGGAAACAACAAGCTGTGCCATCAGAGACAATCACAGAGTAGGGAAACGACTAAAAAACACAGCATTTCAAATATTGTGTCCACATGCCAATACAGAAGGCTAATTTCTTCTGAGAACTCAATTTAAGACATAGATTTAAAAGTCAAAGAAAGCGACAGTTGTAGTATGATGACATGAAGAGTGCATCTGCAGCAGGGAAAGCATTAAGTCAAGGTTTCAAACTACAGCATGCAGAGCAGGCAACAAGGCATTTTGTAAGCAGCTACAAAGTTGTTCTGCAACCTCCTGTGCTTTGAAAACTTTAGCAATCAGCCACAGCTATCTTCCACCAAAATTAACATGCTGTGGCACGACTGGAGCTGCAAAGGTGCTATAATGAGAAGTTCAACCCAACAGTCACGTCAGTACTTTGTTCAGTCACGTGAAAGGCATGCTAGTAGTCCTACAAGGATCACTGCAAATACTCTTGTCAAAGTCATGTTTTTTGGCCAAAGCCTATTATCAGGGAGAACTCCGAGTGATTTTTAGGACCCTAATTCCTTCCAGACAAGCCTTAAATACACCAAAGTATACAATAAGCTCATGAAGCAGCTGTAAGCAAGAAAGAAAAGCACATGCAGCCAGCAGGTTTGATAAGACAGAAAAAGCTTACTGATTAAGTTAATTAACTGATGTGTTTGGTTATTGGAGAGATGCATAACACCTCCCTAACCTGCCCCACGTCAGCAGCTCTCCTATTGGCCATAAATTGAAGGCAACGGATGAAACAGACACAAACCATAGAGAGCTAGGAGGAAAAACAAAACAAAACCACAGCAATGGTTCACGCAGAGCACTTTTACCAGCATCACTTAAATAACGCGCCCCATTCCAAATGAAACCTTGAGGACTTTGAGGGTCCTCTGCCAAAAACTAGAAGCAGAGACCCAAGATTCCAAACCCTGAGCAAATGATATCTCCAGACAACGTAAATCCATGTACCCAGTTTGAGGCTTTTAAACACTTCTGCAGTACAGAAATTACACAACTTGTCTAGGACAATCTTAACGCTCCCCCTGCTCAAGTTCCAATACTAGTATTACCTACCTAATTTCACTTTAAATAGTTTTAATATGAATTAAGAAAAGAATTCAGAAATTTTATAAACCATCAGTGCCCTGCTGTATGAACATTCAGGGCTAAATATGTTTTGCATGGTAGTAAGCCAAATCTTTTGCGATATCTAAAGCCCTCACATAAGCAACCACTATTGCTATGAAGAAATCAGAATTTAAATCCATGCATGATTTTAAGCTGGATTTTCAGTGAACAGCCTTTGAGGATATACTGCAGTCTACACGTTAATGCCACAGTTTTTTTGATGCAAGTACTTCCTATCACTTTATTGAAAATATTCCAATTATACAATCATTAAAGCTGCATTCACTAATTACATAACTGCATTTTAAAAGTTGGTATTATTCAGCCTTTCCCCCCCAAAAGATACTTGAAGGCACTAGTATATGAACTATTGGCCTGTAACATTTCAGTTCTTAGAAGAGCCAGTAAGCTCAAAGTAGTGTCTGAAATTTCTATGTTTCTTCTCTGCACTCTCTCTTGAAGACCTTCAAGCAGCTTTCCCTGCCCCAAACTTTTATGAACAAATGAAAAACAACCCCCAAACAAAACATCCAGTCCAAGTCCCGTAGGAACCTTCCTTGCTGAGCCTCAGCTTGGACTGAACTTTCACGGCCAAGTTATAAACCCCCTGAAAATAGGGGAGGAAGGGAGAAAACCCAAAACTGACAAAATCCTAACTATAGGAGCACTGTTTGTGCCACTATAATAAGAACTGAGGTAACAACAGTGAGTTGTTTCTGGTTTGCTATGTTACACAGACGTTCAAACAGAGTATTACCTCAACTGGAAAACAAAAAAACACAAAAAAACCCAAAAAACAAAAAACCACACAACAAAGTAGCCCCCCACAAAACAAGAAAAATTAAGACAAGCTAGTGAGATAGGCGTTATTAAAGGATCTTTATAGCTGACTTCTGCTTTTTAAATTAACATAAAGGAATCAGTTTCTGGTTGTACTATCGTTTAATGTAGAAACGAAGCATCACAAAAAAGACCTGTTGTGCTTTTTGGCATTTTCCACTGACCCCTGCAAACTGTACAATAAGTTGTTTTCTCCAGAAACAAAATTGAACTGGATTGTAATACAAAACTATTAGCTGGTATAAACAAGTTACTGCCTCAATTATTAGAGTAAGCCCATTCAAAAAAGGAAAATCAGATGGCTGCGGCAAATAGTTAAGCATTTCTAGTTTTTGCTTGTGGCATTGACATTAATATCTGTACAAGCTTACTAGTTAAAGACATGCCATCGCAACTGCTAAAGAACGTTCACTTCCTAGTTTTGTATCTATTACATGAATATAATTTTGCACTGATCATACATCTAAATGAAATAATCCTACCGTAAAAGTGAATGCAGGGGCAGAAATATTAAATTAAAGCCACTGGTCCAAAAACTTTTTCTAGCAGGCTGGTCCACTTTTGATTTTCCTGGTCCTGTTATGAAGATTAGCACTCTTGGTTGGTACCAAAGAAAACTAAGATTGCTGGTCTACTGGATCTTCTATCACTTACAGATGAACACTGGTCCAGTTCAGGAGATTAAAAACAACATACGGTGGCTACTTGCTTAACAACCTATCGTGGTTCACAAAGAGCATGTTGCTTTCCAAAGTGGTTCTTCGCCACTTTTCTTCATAAGGCAGCAGCCAAGGCTAGGGCATTCTCCTTTTCTTAAACGTTTGTGATTAACTTTGCTACAATGCATACAGTAGAAAGACCTTTCTCGTATAATTTCTTATAGTACAGCGTTTATTCTTTCTATTTTTCAGAAGAAAGCTCTTGATGAAACCTTCCATTCATAATAAGAATGCAACTCTTTTGGACTCAAACAGTTTTATTTAATGCTTTCTTGCAGACTTTCTGCAAAGTAGCTTCTTTTGAAAGAAGAGAAAAAGAAGGGGTTTTCTGGAATACCAAGTTCAAAATCTGAGCCGAACTAAACATGCCATACACATGCTGATTAAGAATTTAACACACATTCATCCGTATGGGCACTCTTCAGTAGACTGGACCAGTGTTTCAATGCAAATTCCAGCCCCCAGAGAACTACATGGTTTAGATTTCACAGTATGACTTTCCCCTGTAATCTGGGGGAAAAAAAAAAACCTTAACTGGTTAATTGACCAAGTTCCTTAGCTACTCTGTCCATCAACGTTCTGAGACATGAGAAAAGACTGGACCACTTCTTCAGTGGACTGAGGGCTGGTGCTTACGTCCTCCAGAGCATCTGTAACCGAGAACTGCCGATCCCGCAACCGGTTCCAATTGGCCAAAATATTGTGGTACTCAAAAACTTTCTCATAATTGCCAATAGAATTGTACAGTTTAATGAGACCTCTGTAATCATATTCAAGTCCACTATATCCTTCACCAAAAAGCTTCTTTCCTAAAGAAATTCAAAAGACAATAAAATTAAAAGGTAATCCACTTACAACGTCATACTTTCTCTCGTGTCGTTTTATCAGTGATGTGAATAGCAGAATCGTCACTTCTTCATTAGGACAAATTAAAAACAGGAACAACATGCAAGTTTTCTGGATGTTGATATGAATTATTAACCTTTTCCTTAGCAGATTAACATAGGATCTACCAGTCATATAAACAAGGCAGTCATTTTGTGTCCCAATTTCAGTCCAAGTTCAATTTTAAGAGCTGAAGTTGGTTTTCAGTTTTTTGCCTTCCAATTACGTATTTTATTGTAACAAACCATATGTGCTAACTGTACGAACCAAGGCTACCTTAAAATTGAGCTAGAGCACTGCCCAGAGATGCATTTAATTTGCAGTGGTAAGTTAATGTGAGTGACCGATGGCAAAAAAAAAAAAAAAAAAAAAAAAAAAAAAAAAAAAAAAAAAAAAAAAACTAACTAGGATATAGGAAGGCTGACAGACAATTTTCCATTCCTTTCAAAATACAATTAAATTCTGCATTTCAGTTCTAGATACAACTCCAAAGCGTAGTCTAAAGATTAACATCCAAGCTTCTAATTAGTCACTTTTCCTCAATGTTTTCAAGAGTCAAAGTGAGTTCTGATGAAGCGCTAAAAATATTCAATCCCTAGCAGAATATTCAAGAAAAATAATTATATTTAGATTGAACCCACATGCAAATAAATATGTTGCACTTCATTAAATCCTTTATTAAAAGGTTTTAGTTTCCTGTAATGTCAGAACATCAATACAGCATACATTATAAGCACCACCTACCAATTGCTATGGATCTCAAATAAAGCTTTTCAGCATTTTCATATTGACTCATATCATAGTTATAGAGAGAAGCTAGATGTCCCACTGACAGGGCAACTTCATAATCTTCTTGACCTAGAAGCTGCTCCTTAATCTGAATTGCTTTGATGTGCATTTCCTCTGCTTCCTATAAGGATCAAATTCATATGGGTCAGTGATAGACACAACTTGTCATGCCATAAAAAGAAAGAAAGAAAAAAAACCAGAAGATTTAAAGAGAAGTAACTATGCAGTGGCTAAGTAGGCCATAGTATTTTATAAAAGGCATAAAACACATAGTAGTAAGAAAGTAAAAACAAATCAAGCTCTCCAAATTCTTATCTACAACAACGTAATCTTACCTTAAATTTTCTCATGGACTGATACAGTCTTCCAAGGTTGCCATAGTGTTTTGCTGTTTGTACATTAAACTCCCCAAATGCCTTTTTAGCTAACTGGAGTGAGGAGAGATGCAAGTCATGAGCTTCTTGAAGTAATCTCTGCTCAGTTTCCTTGTTGTGACAGTCTATTGCAATCTCCTCCAGGATAAGTGCTGAGTACAGGAGAGAAAAACCAACATTACTGTGTTTAGAACACAGAGATGTTAACTCTAGGCAGCAGAAAGTCATCAACCCAAGACATCTTGGGAGATATCTAATCTGGTTTTATGTTTATTTCAAACAGTTTTCAGACAGGTATGACCAGATATCTAGCTCCCAACATTTTCATATTCAGTATTTTTACTTCTTTTTTTTTTCCAAAAAGTTTTCCAGCTAATTTTAATTTTTTTTTTTTTTTACATTTTTTTTTTAAACCTCAAAACATTGAGGACTACAATGTATCCTAGAGCAAGCTCCGTTTGGCAGAGGGAAAAATCTAAGGTACATCACCTCTGCTAGGAACACAATAATTTGTCTGAATAATATTTTATCAGTGGAAATTGGTCAAAACGCAATAAAGGATACTACCTTTAACTCTCTTGGAAGATGCCAAGAGAAGATGGTCTTCTGGGAGAATATGAGTTATAATGCCAATAGCACGTTCAGCGTGGAACCTGAAAGAGTTTAAATGTATGCATGTGTATTTATTTAAGTTAGCAGCTCACTGGTAAAAATATTAGAAACAGAAGCAGTAAGCCAGTAGAGATGTACAATAAACAGATGCATTTAAATTCTAATTGGGAAAAGAGACATCATTTAAGAACATTTTTTCCTGTTTACAGTACTAAATTAGCTGCCAATACCTCAAACAATTGTACTCACAGTGCATTGTCAAATTTTCCAGAGCTGTACTGGTGAACATAAGAAGAGTAAGCCAAGTCTTCATGAGCTGTGGCTACATGTATGTTTTTACCTCCAAATACTGACTGCCGGATATCAAGAGCTGTCTGAAAGTGTTTGAGCAGACAATTTTATCAATACAGAAAACAAAACAGCACACCAAAACCCTTCTGATTCCCTCTGATTATTATGAATGAAAACAAACAAACCCCACCCGACTGGCTAGTCCATACCTACAGAATACTTATAGGCAGTAAACGCATAAAAGCCATTTTAGAGTCAGAGAAAAACAAACAAACCAACCCCTCTTTTTTTAAAACCACAAACTTTGCAATAATTAAAATCAACTATTAATTATCTGAATTAACTGAGAGTTCCAAATAGAAACATTTGGGAGATTATCAATATCAGAAATTGTAGACAGACATTTAGCCTTACTGCATACCTGATAGATTGCAACTGATTGGCATATGTTGTCTACATTGAGCAAGTAAAATCCATAGTCTAGTAACGTATCAGAATATTTGGGGTGCTTGGCTCCGAAATGCTCCCTGTAGAAACACACTTACATTACAAATTGAGGCAAGTTATGCTTTACTTTAAGAGGCATTTTTGGGGGTGCTACTTACCGCGCAAGGTATACTGCATGTTTTATCAGCTGTTCAGCTTTTTTAAATTCACGTTTCACAACACAAGCCTAAATAGAGAAATAAAGTATATGAAAAGGTGTATATTCAAAACACGTCTCCACCAGATATCGGCCCAATTGTAACTACTGCTCTTCATTTCAAAACATCATAATGGTTACTAACGGCTTTTCAGTTATTCAATAAAAAGTTCACAGGTGACATATTAACAAACTCATATTTTATTCTAACATAAATGACATTAACTAAAGGGATAGTACTGTACCTAGTCTAGGTGAAAGAGGGGAATAGACAACCTCTTTACAGAATGTTAACTTTGTCAGGATGTTCCTTTGAGCAGCTGCAACTTGCTTTCGGGGAGAAGGAAAAAATCCCACAAGCACAAGACGGAGGTGAACCAAATAAACAGACAAATAAGAAACCATAAGGCTCATGAAATTAACCTGGTTATCCAAGTATTCTGGAGGCAATACCTACCCTCACCCATTCTTGGTAGTAATTTTGTTACAAAAGAAATGCAGAAGATTTTAAATTCACCTTTGAAGCTTGTCGTAAAACATCCACTACTACTTTTACAGGCAGGCCAACTGTGATCTCCTTCATAGCTTCTATACACCATTTATAAGCCTTTTGAACAAAGAGTTACCAACATAATTAAGTCTGAACTTCACTGTATTGCAACATTAAGAAAAATATTACTTGACTCTGAAAATATACTGTTAGTATTTATATTACAAAATTAAAAAATGCTGTATAATTGCTTATGTTCGACTAAACTTGTTCAGCCAAGTCTTAAAAAAACAGGCTTAAAATCCCTCTTCTCCAAACTCAATAGTGTACTTGTAAATAAGTATTTTATACTAGCATAGATTCTATATTATTACAACATACGTATTACCATCTTCCACAGACAAAAAAAAAAAGTGTTATAATCTTTAAGTAACCCTTACAATTCCTATTGTGGAGGATAGCTTCCTGGACAGTATATTGACAACTTAAAGAAAACTACAGTTTATACAGCAGTTACACTGGAGTCCCAGTTTACACAAAATAGCTACAAAGAAATACTACTTCTGTTCTGCTTTTCATTTTTATATATTAAAAACAGATAAAATACCCATCTTTTGTAATACTTGATTTTCAGATAATCAAAACATACCAATCTATACTGCATCATTTCTAAATGTTGTTCAAAGTACTGTTAAGAGTTCATAGGCTCCAAGTCAGAACAGCAAATAGAAACAAGTCAGTGAAAGATAGAAAGATACAGTGAACAATAAGTCAGTCATGAAACATCCTAGCAGATTTCATCTCCAGTTTCCTGAAGAAAAACAAAAGCAAACTAGTCCTACTCACCTCATCATAGTGACTCTTGGCAAAAAGCAGCGCACACAGCTCCCCATAGAGAGCTGCTTTGTTTGCTTGCTGACCGTGTTTTGCAAGTTTGTCCATGTAAGACTGAGCTAGTTTGAATGTTTCTTCTCCCAAGTGATATTTACAGTTACCATTTCGAACATGCAGTAACCTTAGGAACATAAAAGAGATCTTCTAAATGGTTTCTGTATAATCCATTTCAATATACAGTAGTACCATTGATCTATAATATGATATTATACTTACAATAGAACTGGGCTCTCCTCCCAACAAAACTGCACTCCCTGAATCTTGTAATACAAAAAAGCTACTTAAAAGGGTTATTTTAGTACTCCATGCTTTGCGCCTGGCAGGGCAAGACTTAACTGTTGCAGATGTCAAATGATTTTACATATTGATGTAGTTTTGCATAGCCAGTACTTGAACCACTTCAGTATGGCGGCCTTATGTCAAATTTTTCATAAAAACCATTCTTCTTAACACTGATAGAATCCCATTTTGAAAACCAGTGACACACTGTCTTAAATCCCTTCTTCTATCTCCTTTCCAAAATATGGAAAGCTGAAATAGACATGGAATAAGTAGACATAGCTAGTTTTCATGCATCTCTGCACTTTTTCCCCCTCAATCCTTCGGCAGTACAGCGTTTCACAAGCTACTTTGTAAGAGATTCAACCACATACATTCTACGTAAAAAAAAATTATTTGCAAATAAGGAGTGTTATCTTCTGGTCTGTCAGGAAGGATGAGACAATATTGTTGATTGGGATTAATACTAAAGCACAGTTCAAAAGTGGGGCTAAACAGAGTGGTGTTTTAAAACATATTCAATATTATGCAATAGTTGTACTCTGAGATAATGGAACAAGCATCTTTAAGACGAGGGAAAGGACATCTTATCTTCAGTTGTCATGACAGCTGCTTGGATCATGACTTTTTGAATGGTAGAAGCAATGTGATACTCACCTAAATGTTTCCAGGTGAGCAAGGCTATTAGAGAAATTTTGGATTAAATAGGGAGCAACAGCTACAAGACCCAACTAATTTCAGTCCTGTCCACAAGGCTTTGACCCTTAGATACCCACTACTGACTTAGCCCCAGCAGAAAAGACTTTGTTGGCCCAGTTTACAATAATTCTGAACAAAAAAACAACTCATTACCGCCCCCCCTACCACCCCTTGCTGCATCTCCTATTCTAAACCCTGCTGCTTTTCAATCTGAAGGATTAACAGAAGCTTCAGGAAGCAAAACAGCCAAATGCAGACAAAACACACCAGTACTGAAACATACTCTTTCTCTAGAGAGGTAACAATTGTTTTAAATACTTTTCCAGCTTCTGGCATCTAAAGACTTTTTTTTTTTTTTTGTAAGTGTAAGCTGATGCTTATTTACTTTAAAAGAGATGCACTAGAAGTGAATGTTATATTCCAAGCCTAAAGGGCAGAATGGTTTTCTTTCCCATTGCAGGCTAAGACGACAAACAGCTGTAGAATCTCAAATGCAAATTCCTGCCATTTAGGCACATGAAACGTAGGTAGATGCACCTCTCGTCCCTCCTGAAAATCTGTTATTAGACAATGAGTAATACAGATCAAACACCAGGAAAACCTTTGCAAATCAGGAGGACAACATAACACAGGAAGAGAAGTTTACCATATGAAGCAGAAGTAATACTATACTGAAAAGAAAGGCAGTACCACTTTCGACATCTTGTAAAACTTTTAAGATCTTTCAAAAAACTAAGGGTGAACAAAAAGAATGAGGGTTTTTTTGACCAAATGAGCCTCTTCTCTAAACCAAAGTTCCTGTTATCTTCTGAGAAGAGATTTAAAAGTTACTGCAGTTATGCCTTGCAACAGCAAGATAAGATGGCTAAGTCTGCTGCAAATACAGCCTCTAATGTAGCTTTTTCCTACACTTTCCTATCATGAAGCCTCAAATACCAACAAGAAAGGAAATCAAGCTCACGCTTTCACAAGAGTGGAGTGGCAGCCAAGTACACAGCAGATGTAAACTAGCCCTGCAAAGAGAACACCAAACAAAAAGACCTTCAAAAAAATCCAGAAACAAGCCATATAAACAAACATAGCAGCTTTCCAACAACCAGATGCTCAGCAAAGCTCAAGAACAGAAAGAAAAACAATGACCACATTTTTCCTTGGAAAAGATCTGAGAACTAAACGCGATGCAGAAACGCTAAAGATTGTGTTCGCGGTCATAGGCAGAAAACTATCGAACATTCAGCAAGAGAAGAACTTTTATAGAAACTACAGAGACCAAGTAATCAATCACAGTTTCTCAAGAGAGGGAAACACTATTCTGACTACAGCATTCACTTGGGAGCTGCTATGCAACATGAGAAATACTCAGCCCAAGTCGCATGGAATGATACAGACTAGTAGAAATAGTACTGCAATTTAAACAATCACTTGGGAAAGATGATATCCAACATCTGGATGCTTCAGATGTTTGTTTAAAAACAAACAAAAAAGGTAAACCTAACACAATCCTGTATACAAGCTGAGTTTTGTTATTTGATCCAGTTTTTCTGAGCAAGAGTAAATCCCTTATTAACCCAAAGAAATTTTAGAAGATAAAGTCAAGAGCTAGAATAAATGCCTTCGGACATTCACGCTAATAGCTATGCATGTTCTTTGATGTCTGCAATACTAGCCTTTCGGGGTAGACTTTTTTTGCAAAATAAGATCATTCTTTAAGAGCATATGAATATACCAGAGTTACACATCATCTCACGAAGCCTAAAAACATCAAACCCCTCTCCCAAAAAACAGGATAGTTATACAAATCAAAAGAATTAGCAAAATGCAAAACAATGAAGAGGAAGAACCAGGTTGTGTAATTGTGCTTTGTTGTTTAACATGTAATAATGAAAACAAACCAAAAAGAGCATATACACATGCAAGAGTAGTATACAAGCTTGTAGAAAGACATCTAAAATCTTCACATCTGCTTGAGTGCCCCTATATATTTAACTATGAATAGGGCAAAGAAAACCCAACTTACGCCTACATAACACGGAACTATTTCTTCAAATTTTAAAATGGCATTCTATTAATAACACCTGTGAAAAGACTAAATTTTCAGTTTCAGTCAGAATCTGCATACTATGTTTAGGTCACTTTTTTGTTGTTGTTTGACTGTTTTGTAACTAAAAAGAATAGCTTAAAGTCTCAGAAACTTCATTAGACTTGTCAGTCTGTTAAATGATGACTGTAACTATTATCTGTTTCGAAACAAAAGCTTGCTTTCCTCCTTACCACCAGATTTAAGAACACTAATATTCACCTTATATTAACAAGGTGGCCTTACTCTAGCCATAAGACAAACACCTAGAAAGCTAGGGAGTTGACTTCAGTGCAGAAGAGGTACATAGGATGCAGCACAGACTGAGAGACATGCAAGATGCATATGCACACGCTACAAATAGAAATTTGACCCTCAAAGTGCAATAGCCTTGCCAAATTTCTTACTATTACATCTTTCCTTTTGTTACCTGTAACAGTAACCTTTACGTTGCTGTGTTTTGGGCTTTTTTTTTTTATTGTTTATTCCTTACAGCTTGACTGCATTTTTATGCATTTATTTCCCTATTAACACTTCTATATGTTTGAAAAAAGTTTCCTCAAGACAAACAAAGAATCTGAAGAATCCTTGCATGCTTATCAACTATTAATCTTTGTGCAGCCCACGTTTTATAAACTGTTTACCCTATAACATTATTTTCAAAAGCTAAGTACTAATAGTTCTTTGGATGCCTGTGAAAGAAACTCACTCTTAAAAAAAAAAAGCAACAAAAAAGAAGAAATCGGAGTTTAGATTCTAGTTTTTAGAACAGTGATTTTTAGCCTGCCATATTTTCAAAAGCTGGACTTAAATTTTGTTTTCTTAAAATCCCATCTAACTTATTTCTCCAATGCAAACTCAGTGGTAAGAACAGGATATTCTACCGTAGAGATTAGATGGTCAGAACAAAAAGTTTATCTTATTGCCTTGTGACTTTGAAGCTGAGAATAATTACTGCTCTCCCCAGAGAAGGGTTTTAGAATTTACATACTTAGCACTTCCGAAAGTGTATCAAATGAAAAGAATGTCAAACATTTCCAAATGAACTATGCTGTTATTTGATTGTTTGTGAGATGCCCGAATATAAAGCAGTGTCTCCTCATCCACACTGCTGCCTGGAGGGACTCAATGTTACATGCAGGCCGTCAACTTTCATTACAAGGACAATGGGTGTCTCTACACAAATAGAATTAACATCTACAGTTCAGAGGAGTTCACTCTAACATTTTTTTTTCCCCCTAGCACAAAATAAAAGTATTCTTTCTACAACTGTATGGGCTGTAACATTCTCGTCTGACAAAGAGAAAAATTTACCTAGGGCTAAAACATTTTCTTTTTCTGTATTTGGAGAAGGAGAGGGTGTTTATCTTTTAAGGTAATTTCTTCTTGCCAGACAGCCTGATGCAACAAGGAAGTTGCTATTTGCCTCCATAATCCACTGATAGATCTGGATCATCCTCTTGTACAGAGAATAATGTGATAGTGATTCCTAAATCCATTCTCCATAAAAGCTGAAGCAGTAGCAACCTTATTCACTATAAGGGGTAGGAAAGATACCACATGTGCCAGGGATTATAACAGCCCCAGACCTAAACTGGGAGGAAACGAAGCACGAGGACACAACATGACAGAAATAAGCCAGGGAAAAAAAATCCTATGTTACTTATATTCCTGTGTGCCAAGGGGTGGCTGCCCAGTACTGGCCAAATACAATCAGTGGTACTACAGCCATCATTCCCCACTCATAGGAAGGTATATACGTGTCCCCAGCCTCCTCATGGCATCTTATTTATGAAAGGAAAGCCTATGGCAGCAGGCAGGGCAGAACAGGGCACAGCTGCAACTGCTGCCACGACCCTCTGGTTGGCACATAAAGGAAGCAGGTATCGGCAAAGCCCAGTTGCTCTTCATCTTTGTCCAACCATAAAAAACATGTGCTTTGGAGCTGTTTTCCAAAACAAGTTTTGCCTTATATTCAAATAAATACTTTATGTACTTCGCCATTCATTAGAGCAAGATTAAAAAGAAAAAATCCTATTTTAACTATGCCCACTAGCACTGGGGTGCTCAAGAGCTTGCTTGTAGCACACAGAAGAGACCAGTCACAGTGGTACCAGTGCAATTTGCTGACTGCATCAGCCTAACGCTCACCTAGACACACAGACATAAGAGCAGTGCAACTGAAAAAAGTCTCCTTCCCCAAAATGCTGTAACGTTAATAGCTTTGATAATTCAGTAAGAAGTCATACACAAGCCTGATCTGACAAATCCTCTCATTATCTGGGAAAAGCTTATAGTCATTGCTATTCCTTAGACCTTACACTAAACACGGGCTTGTTTTCTGTACTGTTTCCTTGTAGTCCATTAATGGAGCATCACAAACTTTACAGCGGCTTTGCTGACCAAATGCACCCACCTTCTAAAGATCAGATTTTCATAGAGCCAAAACAAACCAAAAAGGCCTCAGCATTTTCAAAGAGTTTGATGAAGTACCGTATCAGTTCAGTTTTACCTAGCTTGTATGATAGCTATGCAGGATTTTTAAAAAGTGCTGTTTTGTTGTTAGCTATCAATCATAAAATCCAGTTATTGTACTAACACTTTTGAATACAACAGGGATACTACCACAAGGACAACTGGTTGCTACCAGAGCGAAAGTGGAATACAGTAGAAGAAAGTCACTTAAGCCATCATTAGGATCATGTTGATCACACAAAACTCCAGACTTTAAACAAGAAATGCCACAACATTGCCTAAAAGATGAGGGAGGTGTCTGTCATCTTAAACATATTTTCATAGCACAATAAGCAATTAATGCTCTGCCTGAGCTCAGCTAAGAGCCCATAAGAAGGTCTGTGTGTTATACAAAACACAAAGGAGACAACTACAGTCCTGCTGTTAGAAAAGTGTCGAGTTTGGACGCCACCTTACTAGAAGGGAAAGAATAATTTGCCTCAAAATATGATTTGGTAACAGTTCTGTCAAAAACAAAGATAGTATTAGGAAAACTTTTCTCTCAAAAGGAACAAGTGATAATCTTCCCGGGCTATACGAACAGTATTTGAATCTGAACGGAAGGCCCTGTGAAATAGACCAGGTACAAAAATCAAACGTGTGTCCTAAAAGCAAACGTTACTTTCCAAGTTGTGGATGAAGGTGTCCACAAGAATTGGACATCTGAACGTTTACCTAAAAACACAGTCAGGCAGCTCAGCACACAGTAAGAGAACTCTTTGAATCTGATATCAGGAAAAGTATATTTCCCATTTATTTCTGCTCAGTTGTATTTGTATCATTTGCAAACGCTATTTGGATTTTGAGAGTACTTTTTTATTAAATATAATTTCCGCAAACACCAACACATGACATCCCTTCATGTGCAAAAAGCCTTGAAAACATGGGTACCGGATCACTTCACTGTCCAGCACCTGCTGCGTACGCTATATTGTAGAGAAGGCAGAATAGTGTTTTTCCACTGAACTGTGCTGCCAGTTTACAAGTAGGAAATCCAGGGATCTGTGTAAAAGCACCTTCTGATCTTCAGCACCAACTGGGAAAGTTGTTTGGTGCAGCAGAAAACCAAGCAGAGTATCTGAAGCTTGATGGTGCCAAAGCAGTTAGTAACGTATATTAATCGTTATTTCACGGAAAGACGTTCAGGAATTAAAGGTGATCTCACCTTACACAACATTCTACTGCACGAAACCAATGAAGTATTTCATCATGAAGGGTGCATAACTGAAGGCAGGAAAGAAATACCTTCTCAGCATCGCTATACCAGCCTGCATCTGATAGGAAGCCTCCTGGAAATTCAAGAACAAATAGAATTTTGAACTGCAGTACACCACTTTAAGAAAACAATGGTTTGCTCAAAGCTTGTGAAAACAGCACTTGTTCGACATTTCATTGCAAATAAAGATAAGAGAACAGGAATACACGAGTTCTGTATTTTGGCATAGAAAATAGTGAAAATCATTGCTAAACAACTTGCAGAGAAAAAAGAAAAAGTGAGAGCAAAGGAAACACACTTCTGTTTTTACAAAATAGCCTTATAAAACATCATAACTGCGTATTACGTATGGGAACTCTGTCAAGAGTTCCAGTCTTCCAGTTCTGAACTAAAAACAAAGAAAAATGAAAGTGGAAGAATTATCTTTCAGCTGAGGATGACTTTTCGGTATTAGATTCCCTACAAATTTTCTATCAAGAAATACTTACCAATATAAACATTACAAAAAGCCTTAACATTGTTTAAGCATCACATCTGCAAACAATTCTTAAATCTTAAATATTTATAACAGCAAAGATAAGCACGTAAGTTCTTATATATTAAAATCCAATACATTTTTCTTAAAATAACAAGTAGTTTTCTAAAAATTATATTCCAAACACACACATTCTTTAAAAGAAATCAGTCATAAACACTGAAAAAGTCAGTATTAGCTTAACTGAAGCTTGATGAAAGAAAGTATAACTCTTAACAGCCTATCATCCCCAGTTACCTAAAACAAAACCAATCTGGATTGCTTTTTCTTTTACAGCAGAATCAGATTCTGCGATGTAGGAGCACCGTCTGCTGAAAGAATAGGCCAGTACAGAAGCAACTTTTACTCCATGGTCCATCAAAGCCTGAAAACAGTGATGAAGCAGATGTCTGAAACAAAAGAAAACAGAATTTGATTACATATAAAATTTTAAAAACGTTCCAATCAGTTGGCTCTTAAGTACCATGAATTCAAGCGACTAGAGAATCACAGAGAGAACTCCAACTTCTCTCAAACCAAAAACAGATGAATAAAAGTAGTAATTGTCAAACTCAAGGCTAATTGATTACAGTTGTTGGACTATCCAACAAATAAAGTGAGCGTATACATAGTTCTTTACAAGGACATCCTCCAGTGAAAGCAAAAGGCAAACTCCTCGCACATTATTAAAACTGGAAAACAACATTTTCACCCAAAACTTAGGGGGAAGTGACAGGTTTACCCTTACCTCACAGCTCCCAAAGAAACAGCAGATAAATGAGCAGTGAGGTACCCATTAACATCATGGATGTTAAAGCCTATTCTGATTATAACAAATGTGATCTAAAAAAAGCCAGTTATGGGTATAACAACACACAATGGAATTTTTAAAGACAGGAAAAAAACCAAAAAAAGAAAAAACTTTAAACTGGGGAGATCCTACCAACTTGATAACCATACAACTAGTACGAGCTAGAACATAAGGAGACAGTGACTGGCCTATAAGTTTTACTTAACTGTTCAATATCACTTACAAAGCATAGGACGCTGGCCATAGCGCCATAGACTTAATGGCACTACCAAAGAAAGCACTTTGGGAACTAAGTGCTATCGATGGCTCGGTATGTTTATCTGTAAATTCTGATTTTTTAGGTACTTATTTGTTTTAGTGAGCAGAGGGAGAGACTAATTTGAAAGCTCTTCTGAAAATCCGAAGAGATATTCCTATGTTTATCACATAGGCTAGAAGATCAAGAAGATTAGAGACATTTTTCAAATTCAAAACCTTGACCCAGGGATAATAGCTGAAAAGAGAATTATTAATAGATTAAAATACTGACCTTTTATCTAAAGCTCGTAGCACCTTTGCAAAAACTTCTAGTTCACAAAATTCACTACCCAGCTGGCATAAGCGGCCCTGTTGGTAAAGCTGAAAGAAAAACATAAATATATTAAAAAACTTAAGACTGTGAGCTCTGCCAGAAAATTTAGCTTAATTCTAAAATTACTTCTGATGAAATCTAGACTTCAAAATATTGAACTGTACCAAACTAAACATTAAAAAGTAATAGTTCCACTACCTCCATATAAGAGCACAACTTTAGCGTTAAAAAACTGAAAAAAATGCACACTATGAGAGCTCCATCAACAAATGGTTTCAAGTTGTGTTTATCCATCAATGTATTTTCAAAGGTCTACTACATCTATCTGCATCATACAAACACTGCAACACCTAAGCTTAAAAAAAAAACAACCAACAAAAAACCCCTAATGTTTGCAAATAAGACAATATAGAGTTTCTCTGACACCAGATGCTTTGAACACATGTTTAAAATGGCACAGAACCTAACACGCAACAGCGCACATTTTAGGAGACTTATAGGTAGAAATATATGATCAAAGCTAGCCAGCATAAACTCAAACAACAAAAAATTAAATACTGTTGTGACCCTAGAAAGCTCCAGCAGGCCTCTAGAACAAAGGCTGTAACAAAAAAACAAGCAAAAAAAAAGGCACACAAGTTCTGCAATTGGTGACTCACCAATACCCACAGTTAAAAACAGGCATTAGCTCTAACGCCATTAACACTTGAGCTTACAAGAGTAATTCCAGTTTATGTGCTTTGGATATCTGTGCTCTGTGATGCACCACGGATCAGCAAATTACAGCTTACTAGCAGACACAAAACAGATTACACATTCAACTTCCATACTACCACAAGCATGCAGATAAAGCATTACTTTGCACTCTTAACAGTTACTCAACAAATCCTAACTTTTAATGTGCAGGTTCCCTAAGCCATTCAAACATAACGTCCAGGATCAACATATTCATATCAGCAGTAAGACATGTGCTATCTAAGCAGGTTTTACAGCTATGCGCAACTTTCAAATTAGGAGTGCAATTACCTTCATGTAACCAAAAGTAAAGGCCAAGAGAAGAACGTGCTATTTAGAGATGCTTAAGGACAAAAGATACATTTAATTAAAACTTTAATAAAATATTCCTCTCAGAGTCTCAATAACTTCCTAAAATAGTTTTATTGATGAGAACCACAACGCATGCCTTGCATCTATTTCACTTCCTTACCCGCCCATGCAGGAGGCAAACCAAGTAGGATTCAAACAAAGCATGCGAGAACCTCCCCTCCAGCCAGAAATTTAGTTTTGGTCAACTCCTCTTACAAAAGCACATGACACTGATTTTACAGCACAGCAAGTTTGTTATTTTAACAACAGAGCCTACAAAAAAACCCTCAAAAATACTTTGACCTAATAACACCAATTGCCAGAAATGAATGCTCTGCTTTTAGTCATCTGCTTCACTGGAAAAAAAAAGGAAGCCTTTTAAAGCATGTTGCAAGTCTATGTATAACGTTATTCCACAGATAAAACAGTGCCTTGTCCCTGCACTTCAAAAAGACCAGAATTCCTTCTGAAGCTATATCCTCTCTGATAGCAAAAGAACATCCAGTCCACTGTCTTTTTTTTTTTTTTTTAAAAAGAAAACTATTGTTATGCTAAGCGCTCTCATTTTTCTCTGCATAGCTGTCTAAAGGTAACAATTTTATGAGTCTTAAGACATTTTCTGGAGGAGGAAAAAAAAAAAAGATTAAATGTTGTCTAGCATTCCAGGCCCAATACTCAAGATAGACATCTTCCTGATAATTGATGAGATCATTTGTGAAAGAAACTAAGACATAGACCTAAGCTATTTTACCAGCAGTTAAAACAGTCAAAAGTACTATCATATGTCCAGTATTTAAGCTTTCAACCAATTACATTAGTATTTTCCCTTATCATCTTGCAGTACTAATAAGTAAAAATCCAGATATTACTCTGATATTAGTTTACCAAATACTAACTATAATAAGACCTTTTAAAAGTAGTATTAAAGTTACATAAACACATTTTGTAAATATCCACTGTTACATGTGATTTTTAAATTCCTGAGGAATCCTTATAAATACACTAGTTAAAAGGAGGAAAAACATACACACAGAGAAACAAGAACAACCCTCCCCTCCACTGACAACAATACATACACACATCAATTTTCATATAGAAATAATTATTTTATTTATGGTCCAGGTAGAATTTGACTTAAGGCCTCAAGGACCTGGCCTGAGATCTGCACATCTCTCTTCCTGTTCCAGATGTAAACACTTGCACCATTCTAGCATTTAAAAAAAGCCTTCCCTCCCCCCCCCCGCCCCTTTCACTGGTATAACCAGAAATACAGAATCCTTGGGATATTTACCATACTATTCATCCCTTCCCTCTACATCCTGGCAGACATGTTTATGGAACTAACTCAGCCTGAAGTCTCTTGAAACTGTTGTAGCTGTTACAGCAAGATTTTTCAAACAAAACCTGACATGGAAATAGCGAGTAGACGTCAAACCATGAAACAATTCCAGGAGATTCAGTAATGCCCATTTGTTCATTGAGAAGCAGTCGCAAGTACTTAAGAAATGGTTCTTGTTAAAGCTCCAGAGAGACAAAATTCCTGACCACAAGCATTGCTACATAACACGAAAAACAAAACAAAATAGTGATTCAAGAAAAACATCCCCTGACAAGAATGGCAGAGGTCTGGACTTCTGAAGTAATGTTTACTTCTTAGAACCTTTTAGACACAAACTTACACTTATTTAAAGCTCAATGGAGATTTTAAAAACTATAGAAAACTGAGTAAAAGCCTAAGATATTACTTCCAGCTTCATCAGATCAGACTGGAACATTAATTCTGGCCCTGAAGACAGGAATCAAGGTATAAAATTAATATATTGGCTTACTATTACACATGCGCACAAACTGTTTTGTAGAGCTGCGAGAAAAATCACCATAAACCTCCTCCAGGGTCTAAGGCTTAACATTTAATTTATAACAGATCGATCTCAACATTCAAAAGCTGTGTATGGTGGTGTTCCCAATTAAACACATTAATTACATTAACTTGTAACTTATCTATTGTTATATATTGCACTCGATTCTATTGAAGTTCTTGTCACATTTCTCTCTGGATAGATTAAGTTGAGCATGACCTACATCTTAGCAAGCCTCTGAAAATAAAGACAAAGATGTTAAACTGCCAGCAAAAGCAAAAAAACAAAAAAAAAAGAGTGAGAGAGAGAGAAAGTTCTATGATATTTTTACCACGAGTATTGTGGGCTGTTTTATTGTGCACAAACACAAGAGAAGACCTTTTTCTAAGCCTAACGAGAAAAAAAATAATAATTTAAAAACCTCTCACATTTTAAAGCAGCTGGAGATTAACTTTGAACAGCTTTTAAAAGGACCCTCTAGAAGATAAAGCATAGCATATGCAATTAAGAAAATATGCTTGTATTGCTCCAGGTTGGAAGATGGCTAAAAAATAAATATGAAATCAGGGTATAAATTGGATATTCCAGTAAGAATTAAAGACATAAGGAATTCCAAGGGGCTCCCCAGCTTACTTAATAATATCTTGGATCACTGCATGAGTGAAATACTGTGTCCAATTTAGGAAGGCCTGTATTTTCATCAACAAAAGCAGTATTTGGGAAAAAGTCTGGCTGCGACCACAATCTCTTTTCTCTGCTTAACAGGGAAGAGAAAGAATTCTTAAGAGTCAACAGTGCACAGAATCAATCCCTTGATGAATGACACATTAAAGAGAAAAAGAGAGAGAGAAAAAGAGACCTTACTAATGAGTGATATCAAAATATTAAAACAAGTAAAAACCTATTCTATCCCTCCCTTGCAGTTTAACAGGTTTAGAAAATAATTCAATTAGAAATCTAGATATATAAGCATTTTTCTTAAATTCATTTCAAAACCATCTACTAAGCTTCTGGACAAGTGATAGTTTCTGTCAGGTTCTATCAGAAATGGTTTAGGGCATAAAATAAGCCAATTCTGCAGCTAAGCTTACTTGAAAATATATTTCCAGTTACAAGAAGAGATGGATCTTTATGAACCTCAAGCTAAAAAAAAACAAAAACAAAAAAAACCAACCTTACTGAATAAGCCTAATTTAACAGACAACTTTTGGAGCTTACTGCTTTACACGCATAGCGGCACACTTCTCCACACCTCTTCACTCACTCCTCCTTCTCAACCTCATCAGCCTGTTGGAACCTCTTTTTGTTCTACATCCGCACAAGGGATGCAAAAAGTCTCTCACACACACACTCCTGATCCCCTGTGCAGCCTGGAAACAAATAAGGAAAGCTGATTTTCTCTACCTATTAGAGGTGTCAGGCGTCTCACCTATTTAGAGGTGCTGGAACTCCTCTATTCACAATATGACCTCATTATGAGAGTTATATTTCAAATTCTAGTGTTTTACATGCAGCAAGGATACTGAAAAACTAGAGAATCCAGAGCACGTCAGGATTAGAAACGTGCCTCATAGTTATAGGTTCAAAAAACCTTGAACCACTTAAGTTAAAAAAAGGTAAGCATAGACATAAGGCAAGAAGTTTCACACCAGCAGACAAAGAAGTAACAAGGTGAGATGGCTTGATTCTAGTCAAATTTAGACAGAAATATGGCACACCAATACAAAAGTAATAATCACTGGGGGAAAAAAAAAAAAACACAAAGCGATGACTCTCATCAGAAGGCATTAATTTAAAAGGGAGTCATATAAAGCTTTGATTTAATTCAAACAGTATCCAGGGAAGCCCTCCTGCATGCACTATTCCACAAGTCTAACTAGACAATCAGAATGGTTGTACGTGTGCACACACATGCAGAAATCATGATCGTTTCCCACATATACATTTAATTTCTGATGCCCCCAAACACAGCAGGATGAATTTAGTTAAGTTGTTATGACGTTGTGCTGGTCAGTCACAGCAAAAGCCCTACAAAATATGACCCATTAACTCTGGATTTTTTGCTTCCCTCATAAGATACACTGCTTGCTTATGACCTTATT